GGGTCAGCTCCTGTAACTCTCGCAGGGGGATAGCCTGCGGCCTCTTCCCTTCCCCCCCTCAACTCTTTGGTGCTGTCAGCCCCTCCTCACATCTTACGACTATCTCAAGCAGAAGTCTCCTCTAACTGCATCCTATAGGATATGACCCTGGGGGTGAGGTCCTGAGCATCCTTATCTTGTGCTCTGGGGTCACAGGGCTAGTTTGGCAGGCTCTCTCCGCAGCATCCCAAAGCCTTGTGGGAAGTTCTAGGAGCATGGGAGGCCACAGGCCTGCTCTACAACACAGGGATAAAAGTCCTCCACCCTCACTAGGTCCCAGAGCTCAGGCTGCAGCCCAAGCATCTACACAGTGATTTTTCAGCTCTGGTTGACCCAGGCCAGCCGCAGGTTTTATCCCTATGTAGACCTAGCTTTAGGGGCCTGGACAGTGCTTGGATGCAGCAGGGAGAGCTGCTCCCATTACCCTGACACAAGCACTTCCAGTTGATTAGAGACAATGGGCCAAGATTGCACCAGGGGAGAATGGGGGCAGCTCTATTGAGTTCTTTGGCACTCCCTTCATTTGCACCAGCTGAGATTCTGTGTGTGTGTCCCATCCCTCCCATTCCCCACTGCAGCAAAGTTAGCCCTTTCCTGCCTTTAGTTTTCTCATTCACCTCATTGCTATGTATGTAGCTGGGGCCACTTTAATACTGACCTTGTGCTAAATCAAACCTCTGCTGGAGTAGAGTCATTGTGTTAAACAGTAGGCCTGATTCTCCAGCCTTGGGATATGGGTAGCTCCCCTTGATTACAATGGAAATGGGAATTACTACCTTCATGCTTCTGACTTAACTCTTCTCCACCCCTTTTCTTTCAGCAGGGGTTTTTCTCCACCTGCCCCAAAAAGCAAGATTTTCTTTATTGGGAAGAGACTAGGGGTTTTTGTCTACACTGAAGTTGTCAACAAAACTTTTGTCTTTCACGAGTACTTAAAAAAGCCCCCCCACGAAAGACAAAAGTTTTGCCGACACAAGTGGCAGTGTGAACACGGCTTCGTTGGCAGGAGCGCTCTTGCGGAGCTGGAAGTATTTGGTTGGCAAAAGTGCCGACAAAGTACTGACAAAGAGCGTTTACATGCTGACTTTTAGCAACAAGGCTGTGTCAACACAGCCTTGTTGCTAAAAGCTGCATATCCTTTTTTTCTGTTTCTTTCCCTTTAGATGTAGCCTGTTAATCTCCCAGGCTTCCCCCTCACGATGTGGATTGACACTTACCTTCTAATTTTTACTGAACTGCTGCTACAAATCACTGTACCTGTCTTGGAATTACTGTGGGATGGGGAGCCTGCATCCTTAGTGCTAGAGAAGATACCTTTGCAAGGCATAGTCATACTGACCCAGGGGTCTAGCTGGATGATGATCTGGGCATGGGACCTGTTTATTGAACCTGATCCAATTCCTGTTATCTTTAGTGGAAGTTGGACTAGGTCCTTGGTCTACTCTGGAGCAAACGTGCTATGTATATTTATGGTGCGTTATAGGTGGTTTATGATACTCTGACTTTTTCCCCCTAGAAAGCATCATGCAATGTAATGTCTTTTTCTATTCCCTGACATGCCCAGAGGTGGTGAATTTTTATTACTTGTGCCATTTATTATCCCACCATATAATTTTATCCTGCTCCCTTTTAATCATTCCAGGCAGTGTAACTCTAAACCTATTTCTTCACCAAGTGTCCTAATGCTCTGGTACAGTGTCCGAGTACCCAGACCAGGAGAGGGCATTCAGGTAATTTGGGAAAGCCCTTCCCTCTCCTTAGTAGTGTCAAGGGAGGAGATCCATGCATTTGTGACCTCCTGCTGAGGAACAGAGAGGGGGATTCAAGAGTGTGTATCAATAACTTAAGGGTGAACCAACATTAAAGGGATATTATCCCCAAACTAAGCATTATAAACACAGGTTTCAGAGTAACAGCCGTATTAGTCAGTATTCGCAAAAAGAAAAGAAGGACTTGTGGCACCTTAGAAACTAACCAGCTTATTTGAGCATAAGCTTTTGTGAGCTACAGCTCACTTCATCGGATGCATACTGTGGAAAGTGTAGAAGATCTTTTTATATACACACAAAGCATGAAAAAATACCTCCCCCCACCCCACATTAATTTTAATTAATTATTTTTTCATGCTTTGTGTGTATATAAAAAGATCTTCTACACTTTCCACAGTATGCATCCGATGAAGTGAGCTGTAGCTCACAAAAGCTTATGCTCAAATAAGCTGGTTAGTTTCTAAGGTGCCACAAGTCCTCCTTTTCTTTTTGCGAATACAGACTAACATGGCTGTTACTCTGAAATCTATCTATAATTAATTAATTAATCAGCCCCTCCAGGCCTTCAACAGCAGCTTCTTGCCCCAGGAAAAACCCTCTGGCAACTAAGGCCTTGCTAAGGAAGGCATGTCCCGGAAAGCCCAGCACAGTCAGTCTGCGCAGAGCTGGTTTTACCAGTTTTCTAGAGCTCTGTGAACAGTGCTCCAGGGGGTACCAGCTGGCTTACAAAGCAGCCAGCAAGCAATTAAGGGCTTGATCCTGCAGTTCTTACGCAAGTATAACTCTCATCAAAGTGAGTGGGACACTTGCTCAGGTGAAGGCTGCAAGATCAAGGCCTTATGCAAGGTGCCGAGGTGCCTTGCACCTGTTGCTGGGGTCTAGCGTCAGCCCGTGCGGCTATGAAGTCGCCCAGCTGATCATTTTCTAGGCCAGAGGTGGGCAAACTACGGCCCGTGGGCCACATCTGGCCTGTGGGACCGTCCTGCCCGGCCCATGAGCTCCTGGCCGGGGAGGCTAGCCCCTGGCCCCTCCCCCACTGTTCCCCCTTCCCTGCAGCCACGGGGCCGCACGGGCAGGGCTCTGCGCAGTGGGGCTGCGTGGTCATGCAGGACAGTGCGTCTGGCTCTGGCTGTGCGGCTCCAGACATGCTGCTCTGAGTGGCATGGTAAGGGGGCCGGGACCAGGGGGTTGGATATGGGGCAGGGGGTCCCGGGGGGCAGTCAGGGGACAGGGAGCAGGGGGCGGTTGGATGGGGCAGAGGACGGGGAACGGGGGGGTTGGATGGGGGTAGAGTCCTGGGGGGGTGGTCGAGGCTGGGGGGGGGGGTCCTGGGAGAGGACGGCCAGGGGACAAGGAGCAGGGGGGGTTGGATGGGTGGGGGGGTTCTGAGGGGGCAGGAAGTGAGAGGGGTCGGATAGGGGGCGGGGGCCAGGCTGTTTGGGGAGGCATAGCCTTCCCTACCCAGCCCTCCATAGAGTTTTGCACCCCGATGTGGCCCTTGAGCCGAAAAGTTTGCCCACCCCTGTCCTAGGCTCTTCTTGGCGATGTCTCATAGCAGGGTGCTATTTATATTGGGGTGGGGTGAGGCGAGGCAGGGGAGCGAACAGAATTAGTGGTCATGAGAGACTCTGATGTAATCAAAAGCAAACTTCTCCAGTGCCTGGGGAAGTGAAATTCTCTGACTTGTCATGGGTAAGTCTCAGAGGATCCTTGTGATATGCTTGTCTTCTGTAGGGTTGCTGCAGGCATGTGGGGTGCTTAGAGACACTCTCTGTCCTTTCTAGGCCCAGGTGGGACCCCCACTGAGAGAAGGCAAATTCCTGCTCAAATAAATTGGTTAGTCTCTAAGGTGCCACAAGTACTCCTTTTCTTTTTGAGCGTACCTTGGTTCCTTTGTTTAAAAGAGCCGTAGCTGGGGTTCTCCATGCCCCCGACAAGGGGAAGGTAACATAGCCTCACGCAGCCGGCTTGTGTTTATTTATGTCACGGTAGCAGCAGGGGGCCCCGTCGGAGATCAGGGCCCCATTGTGCTAGGTGCATAAGTGCACATAGTAAGAGACAGACCTTGGGGAGGTCACCGCGCAAACAGACACCGGAAGTATTATCTCCTTTCTACAGGTGGGGAACAGAGGGTACCATCTACACTGTGCTAAGTGATAAAGGAGCCCCGGTATGGCCCCTGGCTGGCCCAAGTCAGCTGATTTGGGCTCGTGGGGCTTGGGCTGGGAGGCTATAAACTTTCAGTGTGGACGTTTGGGCTTTGGGATTCTGTGAGGGGGGAGCCTGAATGTCTATACTGCATTTTTATAGCCCTGGAGCCCCCACCCTCCCGTCAGCCTGAGTCAGATGGCCAGGGCCACCCACAGGTCTTCTATTACAGTGCCGCCATGCCCTGAGGGTCTGAGGGCTTGTCTATACGAACTTGTGTTTTTGGCAAGCTGGGGTGTCAGTCTACCTCGCACTAGTGTGCCATACACTATGTGTCCATGTGGGTCCTGCTGCCGTGCACTAAAAGCTCCCTCGTGCACTTTGATCCACTCTGCTTGGAAACAGGAGTGGACCAAACTGCACTAGGGAACTTGTAGTTTGCAGCAGAAGGGTCCACACAGACACCCAGGGCAAGGCAGTTACACCTCAGCTTGCCGCGAGCTAAGAAATTGTACAGACAAGCCCCAAGACTGTGGGTACGTCTACTGCATTGTACACCCAGGTCTGTGGACTTGTACTTGTATACTTTGTGTTCCCAAATCCGAGCTTGAGTGTCCACGCTGCCTTGTAAATCCAGGTTTACAATTTCTGGACGAGGGTCACACAGCTGTACGAATACGTCCATACTTGACTATGCAGATCTTCTGACTCAGCTCTGTGGCGTGAGCTGTGTCCACACTGCAAAATGACCGGGTTTGGACCCAAGTCATAGTGGGACTTGAGCACTGATCCAAGCCCCTAGCAGAGTTCTAGGACCCAGGACCTGAATGCTCGCTGGCCCGTGTTAGGCTCATTCATGTGTGGATGGAAAGGGGGCTTGGGCTCAAACCTGAGTTAGAGCCTGGGCTTAGTGTGGACATAACCTAAGTGACTTGCCCAAGGTCACACAGGGAATCTGTGGCAGAGCCAGGAATTTAACCCAGGTCTCCTGGACCGGGTCCAGTGCCTGAACTACAAGACCCTCTTCCCCTCTCTCTCTCTTAGGGACTGTTGTGTGAGGAACTCCTGACCCCTAGGAACTATTGCTCAGATGTCAGCCTGACCCAAAATCCTTGATCCAAACCAACTCCCAAGCTTTATGACAGGTAGGTCCCAAGTTTGTAGCTCAGATCTCTCTCTCTCTCTCTCTCTCTCTCTCTCTGCTTTTGTTGTTTGTAGGTCGCTGTGGGTCTTTATGGATTCTGTAAAATGTCCTGCTGACTTCCCTAGGAGTGGGAGGAGGTGCTGGCCGTGCTAAATTGCTGTAGATTAGCAGAAGTCTTTGAAATATGATGAGTTAAGCCCTCTTCACCCTGGCCCATGCAGGCGGCTCCTTCTTATCCACACAGGGATAAGACTTCTGTGGAGTCCTGGAGAAATCTTTTTAACACCGCCTACAACGTTTATTCACAATGGCAGGAGATGGGACACTAGATGGTGTGAGGGGGAGGGCTCTGAGTTACTGCAGAGAATTCTTTCCCCGGTATCTGGTTGCTGGGTCTTGCTCACATGCTCAGGGTCTAACTGGTCTCCATATTTGAGGTCCAAAAGGAATTTTCCCCCAGGCAGATTGGCAGAGACCCTGGGGGGTTTTCACCTTCCTGTGCAGCATGGGGTAGGAGTCACTTGCAGGTTTAAACTAGCGGAAATGGTGGATTCTCTGTGACTTAAAAAGAAAAGGAGTACTTGTGGCACCTTAGAGACTAACCAATTTATTTGAGCATGAGCTTTCGTGATGCATCTGATGAAGTGAGCTGTAGCTCACGAAAGCTTATGCTCAAATAAATTGGTTAGTCTCTAAGGTGCCACAAGGACTCCTTTTCTTTTTGCAGATACAGACTAACACGGCTGTTACTCTGATCTCTGTAACTTGATGTTTTAAAATCATGATCTGAGGATTTCAGTAACTCAGCCAGAGATTAGGGGTCTATCACAGGAATGGGTGGGTGAGGTTCTGGGGCCTGCAATGTGCAGGAGGTCAGACTCACTAGATCATCACAATAGTCAGTTCTGGCCTTAAAGTCTGTGAGAAGCAGCCCGTCACCTGAGAACTGTTTGAGGCCTGATTCTCTCTCTAGTTACATGTGGGAGCAAGGTGCCGTGTGGCTGTCAGGGAGGTGGCTAGTGCACAAGGCCTGAAGGGGGGTTGCTGCTGTGTGGTTAAAGTCTCCGTACATGGAGTTACTGCCCCTTTATAAACCTTCCTCTGTTCACTCAGGTGACACCAGAACAGGTAGGTGACTTTTGCTCCACTAAAGTTGCCCCAGAGTTGCTGTAAAGTGAATGCCCGTCATTGGAAGGGAAGAGCTGGCCTGTACCCTGCAATGATGTACCGCGCAGATGAAGTGAGCTGTAGCTCACGAAAGCTTATGCTCAAATAAATTTGTTAGTCTCTAAGGTGCCACAAGTCCTCCTTTTTCTTTTTGTGAATACAGACTAACATGGCTGCTACTCTGAAAGCTCAGGGTGGGTTAGCAGCTAGCAAAGCCCACGCGTGCTGCTCTGGGCCGCCATGTTAAGGGGAAATGCTAAGGAGAAGCCTCAACAAACCCGTGCAGGAAAATGCCCTGCCACACTGCAGCCTGGGCAGGGGTACAGCGTCCTGCCATGCCCACAAATCCTAGGCGAGGGCACACGGCCACGCCCACATGAGCTGTGCGTAGGTAAGGGGAACAGCTCCTTAGAGCTACGTAAAATGTGTCACGTGGGGGCAGGGACCTGGGCGGCCCATTCCCAAAGCAATGTGTCACCGCGTGCGGTGCGGCCCTTTGCCGTAGATGCCCCCCAGCCACAAATAAGGCTATGCCCTCGTTGTGTCCCATAGACAGAGCCTGGTGCACCTCCCGTGGCATGCCACTGCGCATGTGGCCTTAACGTGATAGGTATGATCCTCAGACACTCTCCTCAGCCCGGTACATTCTCCCTCCATCCTGGCTGGGGTGGCCAAAGAATAAATGCATGGATCCGTAGTGGGAATGCAGGCCCTGCTGTCCAGCATGGTGTGAGCTGTGGAGTGCAGAAAGGGCAGGAAGAACTTTTCAGCCCAGAAACTGCTGTAACATGGGCTGGGGCAATGTACGTTGCAGGCCCCCAGTGAGAGTCTACTATGTATGCATCTGATGAAGTGAGCTGTAGCTCACGAAAGCTTATGCTCAAATAAATTGATTAGTCTCTAAGGTGCCACAAGTCCTCCTTTTCTTTTTGCGAATACAAACTAACACGGCTGCTATTCTGAAACCTATGTACATAGTAGACTCTCACCGGGGGGCCTGGCTTGGGGAAGGTTTTACACTAGAGTTGTTGGGTGAGCCAGAACCATCCCCAAACACTGGGAGATGGTCTCACCTGGATCTGGACTTTGTGACTGGCCTACAAGGGTTGAGCTAAAACCCTGGATGCAGAGATCCTGGAACTCTGGGAATGTCCTGAACCAGAGGACACCTCCCTAGATCTATAGTGCTGCATAATTTAACCAATGGGAAAAAAATTCATGGCCCTGCCACACCTGTGGGAGGAAAACAGCTGAGGGCGGTCCTGCAAGGATGCAGAGCTGGATAAACAGAGCACGTATCGCCATGGTGACTAAGCCAATTTAGATATCTATCAACTCTTAATTAGGGGAGTGCACCCATTGTAGTTACGCCAAGCCTGTGTTGGCATTGGGCAGTGAGTCACTACTAAAGGTTGAGCTGAGCATATGCTTCCCCATGAGTCTGACAGCTTGGTCTTCGTTGGCTCTGTTTTCATTTGAAAGAAGAATGAAACTCTCTCTAGCCTTTGGAGCTGCAAGGAAAGTCTTCAAGATGTGACCTGCGGCAAGGATGTCTGCCTGAGTCTGCAGACAGCCTGGAACTTCCTTGTATCAGGAACTGCCGTGGTGTGGTATATGTGTCAAATGCTGTCCATTGTAGTGGCTACTAATGTGCCCTATCAACTCTTCAGTGTTGTGGTCCTAAAACAGTGACTGTGATCTCTTTGGCACTGAGCTAGCAGCATGGATATTTACGGCTCTGTAAATGATTCTTACAATAGTGGGACCAAGGGTAATTGGAGGTTCAGCGTGGGCATAGCCATGTGCTATAGTTTATCTATGCTAGGAATTCTCTGGAACAGTGAAACTTCAGTTATCTGAACCCCAGACCTCTCAGTCCTGGTCCCCAAAGTCCATTACTTCCACTAAAAGCTCTTCTGCCCGACCTGGACCATTCCCCTTGCCCTCATGCCTCAATTATCTGAACAGTATATGTCGAATGTCTAGACCAGTGGCTCTCAACCTTTCCAGACTATTGTACCCCTTTCAGGAGGCTGATTTGCCTTGCATACCCGCAAGTTTCACCTGATTTAAAACCTGCTTGCTGACAAAATCAGACATGAAAGTACAGAAGTGTCACAGCCCACTATTACTGAACAATGGCCGACATTCTCATTTTTACCATATAATTATAAAATAAATCAATTGGAATATAAATACTGTACTTACATGTCAGTGTATCATATATAGAGCAGTATAAACTGGTCATTGGATGAAATTTTAGTTTGTGCTGACTTTGCTAGTGCTTATTATGGAGCCTGCTGATGTACCCCCGGAAGACGTATGCGTACCCCTGGTTGAGAACTACTGGTCCGGACTGGTGTCTGTAGGGGCCCAGTCCTGCTCCCTTTGTAGACAATGAGGCTCTTTCCATTAGCTTTAATGGGAGATTCTTTTGCAGTAGATAATACAAGTGTATGTTCAGTCCACACCTACAAAGACAACATCCCTGTATTGCCAAGGGTAACCCATATGGGTACTAACAGGGAGTTCCTGGGAAACCACCACAGCCAGGCTGGACATATCTAACAGCTTGTAAGTAACACAACTGGCCTGTATTCAAAGCAAAGCATAAGTCAGGGGATGGCTAGTGATTACAATAGGCTAATAAGTAATCAGGTCTGCTAGATGCCAAATGATCTAGACCATAAGCTCTTTAGGGCATGACCCTCAGGCTGAACTGAGACTCCGGGAATATCACAGTCCCATTACCCCAGCGCAGAAGAGAGACTCAAAGGCCTTTTCCTCTTGGGTGTCTTTAGGTGGTGAACGGGTGTGCGTGTCCACACAATCTGAATGTGGATGGGAAGAGATGTTTATATATAGGGGGTCTGAATATCCTCCAGGTCATAGTCCCCAGCCCCTTTTCCTCCCAGAATATAATTATCCAAATGCTCGTTTGTGACATTCCCTTGTGTCTTGTCTCAAGCCGAATTGAAAGCTCTCTGGGTATGGACTGTCTCTGTGTCTGTACAGTGAGGCCTGGAAGAAGATTCCTGTAATTTACCAGAGCTGTGATTTGTTACAAGCCCTGGGGAGTTACGGGCATGCTCAGAATGTGTGCTTCCTGGGCTCACTCTCTTTTACAGCTCCTGCTGCTGCTTGTAATTATTAACTGGCTTGTCATGAAGCAAGTGGGTCAGGGCTGCCAAGAGCACAGAGGGAGGAGATGAGGAATTGATACGCCAAGAAGTGTATTTTCCAAGGGAGGCTTATCCAGCTGCAGAGCTCAGTAATAGATGGTTCTTTACTGGTTGTATGCTGCATCTTGAGCTCTAGATCAAAAGTCATAGGGGTGGGGGGGAATCATAATAGCTTCTCCCAAGTTCTGATATGTGCGTAGGGCTTTGGAGCAGCCCTCTAGGCCACGTGTGCTGTATGTACAGCCTCTGTGCACAGCAAAGAGGAACGGTCCTCGGAGGTGGGCCAATTATGGCCTCTCCGTTGGGGTGTGCGGGGTGGAGCCAGAAAGGAGAAGGAGCCTTCCCGTCACACCAGGCTTTAGGGGAGCTAGGCAGAGTGTGTGCTTCCTGGGCATTCAGGGGGAAGAGCTATGCTCCATGCCAAGCTCACGCTGCAGATCCCTCTGATACCTGAGCAGGGTTAATGGATTAGTTCCCACTGGGGCTACTGTCCGGCTGCTACCGCACAGACACAGCGGGTGGCTAATGCCAGCGTTGTAGTGGGGGGTGGTTTGGGCATCTGGATGTGCAGAGATGTGTGAAGCACCCTGCTCCTACACAAGGCACAGGAGGAACTCCTTCCCCTTCCCCTGACAGAACAGCTGTGAAGGAA